GGAAAGAGACAGTGGTTTTATTTGTAGACACACCCAGGGCACAAAAACAAGTTCTACTCACATGAAACCATAAACAGATGGAATAAAATCCCAAGAGTTGAGAAGGAAGAAGGAGAGGCAAATAATCACCAACAGGCTTCCCAAATACAGCCCTGCATACTGCACAGTGTAAAACCAGAAGTCTTTGTTTTTCATTTTCACTGGTATGAACTGGCGCTAGGAGGAGGAAAAAAATAAATTAAAAATTCACTGCCAGTTAAAAATCAGGAGATCTAACCTCCCCACTTTCCATATTGCTAAGTGAAGATAAAGAATACTGAGCTAACAGTAACAGAAATAATAGCTTTCAGGTACATGATGAAAAGACTGAGTTAGACTGAGCTAGATGTCAAGAAATACCCAGCTCAGATCTTGACTCTTGCAATTTATTTGTCAGCACTAAAGAAACAAATAAGGAAAGCTAATGTATGCATCACAATTAGCAGAAGTTGTTGTTTCTGATCACCAAGTATACAGAATATACTTCTCTATGCAAGCTTATGAAAATCCCCCTTTTTAATTAAAACCCTTTAGATGTTAGCAATAGATGTCCATACAATAGCCTCAAAAACACACAGAGTTTGGTGGTGGATAGAGTGTTTCACTAGTACCAGGGAGATCTGACATCAAATCCCAGCTCAGTCATGGACTCCGCTGGGTGATCCTGGCTCAGTCCCTGTCTCTGAAGTCTGCTTCACGGGGCTATTGTGAGGGTAAAATGGGGGTGGATCAGGCATACTGCCTGAAGAGCCATGGAGGGAGAGGGGGATTAAGTATCACAATGAGTTTTACACCTCAATTTTCTGAATCATCTCAAAAATCTGAACAAAAATCTGGCAGGATTAACATGACAAGGCAAGGAGGCACTTTTTAAAACTTCCCCAAATAAATTATGAAACTCCTGTGCAACTAAAAGACACAGAACATCTGCCAGCAGCTTTCAAGCTTTTGAAATGCCTGTTGCTAGCCCAAAGATGTTTCACATTATCATGCAGCTGCAGAAACTGTGCTATACCTGCACAGATGTCGGGCTTAAAAATATAAGCCTAAACACACAGAGTTGGGAGGAAAGAAAGCAACAGCTCTCCAAGTGTACCAGCAGAAGCTTAATTTAGATTTAACAAACAGTTTTAACTATTTGCACAGGCATCCTTACTACAAGTATCTAAAGTATCATTCCAAAATTATTTCGGGAGAAAAGTTACAAACACAGTTTGAACCTGAACTACAACATTCATCCACTCTGTTTGCAGACTGTAAAGAGTATCCACTCCTCAGCGATTTATGGAAGTCCTGCAAATGGGAGAAGTGCTTGCCCCAGTGGCTAGGCTGCCTGATGCTGCTCAACATCATTTTTCAGCCAGGATGCCAGAGGGAGGGAGGAAAGCACTGTTCTCACTCTGATTTGGCTTTAGGATGATGCCACATGAGATGGCATCTGAAGCCAAATCAGAATGAGGTCAAAGCTTTCTGCCGTCATTCTGGTTTCATTTGAAAGAAAACAAGAAAAAGCTGCAGGGAATGTAGTTACCATTGCTGCCAGGGCTAGAGATAGGAAGTCGGAGCAAAACACAGGGCAGGGCTGTGGCTTATTGGTACAGCCCCTGCTTTGTATGCAGAAGGTCGCAGGTTCTGTCTCCAGCATCTCCAGTTATAGGAGGTGTGACAGCAGGGTTGCCAGCTTCCACATGGGGGCTGGAGATCTCCCAGAATTACAACTGATCTCCAGACTGCACACATCGCTTATTTATTTATTATTTATTTAAAACATTTATTCCACTTCTCATGGAGAAAATGGCTGCTTTGGAAGGTAGACTGCATTGCACTGCATCCTACCAAAGTCCCTCCCTAAATTCCACTCTCCCAGACTCTACCATGAAATCTCCAGATGAAATCTCCAAGCCTGGAGCTGGGCACCCTGTGTGAAAGACCTGTAGCTGAGACCCCAGAGAGGCGCTGCCAGCCACAGCAGGCAATACTGACTTCGGTAGACCAATGGTCTGATTCAGTGTGACAGCTCGCGATGAAGGGCTTTTGTGAAATCTTTCGCCTGGCACCAAGCCTTCCTTCTGACCTAAAAAAGTTCACTAGAAAGCTTTCTACACTCCTATAGCCATAGTTACTCACAAAATAGATCCTACTGATTTCAACAGCAAAACCTATTCTGACAAAATTATTATTCTGTTAGTAAATTTGACAACAGGTATTAGAGGAAACCAGCAGTGCAAATATTCAACCCAAAATGCTTGCAGAGAGGCTGTGGCTCAATGGTACAGCACATGCATGGATAGCCCCAAATTTCATCTCCAGTTAAAGGATAAACACAGCTGTGAAATGCTGTCTTCACATCCCAGCAGAGAATTATTTTATGGGCAAATGTTGTCTCTAATGCTCTGCAACACTTTCAAGATTGACTAATCACTTTCCCCCTAAACTCTTTTTGTCAATTTATAGTACAAATTAGTGTGTTTCCACTGGAGTGGATACAGTGCATTCATATCAGGCAAAGAGCCATCTTGATTGAAATCCAAGTGAAATGAAAGTTTATCTTGTGTCAGTTGCACAGCATAAGTGGCCAATAGGGACAATGGAGCACTAAACATACTGCCCAATTGCCCATATACTTATAGAAGTTCAAAATCCCCATTTTATCCCCACAACCTTGTGTAATAGTTGAGGGCTCAGAGACAGTCATGGTAGAATTCATGGCAGAACATGGATTGGAACTTGGGTTTTCCACAATCTATCTTGCACTGCCTCAAGGCCCAGGTTCCATTAAAATACTATTCATAATTCGACAAGCAGCCTGTAACTGACATATTTTTCAAAAATTGTACACAGTATAGCTACAGCTTTAAAGCCTTTCTGTCTGACCAAGGGATGCTCATGACTAAAAGGCTGATAACCAGAATGGAACTGGCTGCCTAGACTGTTTTAACAAACTGACAGTTGCCTCTCCCCACCGCATGTCCAAGCACTGTTGCTGCCTCTCCTGACCCCATTTCCTTCAGTCTGTTCCCTCACAAAAGCCTTGCAGTGGCTGGAATAGTGGCACAAGCCCTGCCTTAGCCTTTTCTTTACAGGAAACCATGAAAGTAAGTTTGTCTTTGCCATCTACAAGAACGTAACCATGTCCTCTACCACAGAAGTGGATTGGCTACTTTGTAGGAGCATCCAGTTGGTACCATTGAAGCCTGTAGGTGAGGTAATATAATGTGTTCTGCATGCATTTTAATATGATTATTTGCTACTGCTAAGACTAGCATACTATTGTCTTTAATAAACCAGTTTGATTCACAAATCTAACCAGTAGTGTGTTTGTGACTTGTCTTTATATCCCACGAGAATCCTAAAAAGAACTCTGGGCACTGTGACCTATTCAGCATAGTGGAGTATAGTGTGTCATAGCTGTCAGTATAAAACCTTGTAAAGCTGGGGTGGTAGGATGCAATGGGATCCTGCAGACTAACAAAAGCATGCACTTTTAAAGCTTATCAGTCCTAGGATCTTGGGAAAGTGTCTTGTGCCCTCTGAAGATCTAATTTGCTCAGTCTTTACAGGGCTTTGTGTATACATGAATAATTAAGTATTCCATCAGCATCCTACTCTCTGAAGGACTCTGCTCAACATTCGGAAAGAAAGAGAAACCAGATGCTTTTAGTGACCGCATTTGTCTTTTGCTACAGAAGGACAAGCCAGATGGAATCATTGCAAACTGCAGTGTTGGGGTGTGTGTGTGTGTGTTAGATGACTCAGAGAAAAGTGCTGTCATCAAAAGGCACCTCTCTTGAGCCAGATCAGCACAGACAAAAGTCTAGCGCTCACAATATACTCAGTGGTTTTGTTTTTCCTGCAAGAGACTGTGCTGTGTTTCTGCCAAGCAATTTGCAGGTTGCTTTCCAATTCTAGCCATCTGCCCACCCACAGGCCTTGCAAAACGTTAACAACCCTGCCACTGTGGTATCTATCAAGCTCCTGTTTGTTAGCTTTTCCATTTACTGATAGGAAAGCCACATGAAAAGGGAGTGCTCACTCCTCTAGAATATTTACCTGCAGTAAATACAGAAGTGCTGGTGCGAACAAGGTGAGAGGATACAGGGACTGGTATGTTGCTAAAGCCAGAAATACAGCACTCAGGAAGGCACTGCCTGCAAAACAGGAGGAGAAAAGGGATAATGTAACTATTACTAATGCAGATCAGATAACTGTGTTCCTAATGGGAATATTCAAAACTGTTTTCAAGATGGCAGAAAGTCTTTAGGTTCATCTAGTATTTTGAGACCAGGAACTCAGAACTGCATCAGCCGTGGTGATCCAATGCAGCCAGATGATGTATTGCTGACCACTGTTTTGGTTGCTTGTTCTCTGCAGAACACAAGACTTCGTTGTGGCTGAACTCCAGTGGAACTGTAATGAGCACTTCCAACAATGGGGAATAGGGAAGACCTACTAGAAAGATGGCTTCAATGGATCACAGTTTTGGCACCCCACTCCTCTGACCTGAAATCTAAGCCACAATCCTGTCCAGTGGTGCATCCTTCATGCATATTAAAAAGCAAAACAGAGAGGTGTATGTTTTTCCAAGAGTGTTACCTTTTATTGTTGCCAAAATGAAGAATGCAATTACAGTGTTGTTGATGGCACAAGTGGACTTCGCAATGCAAGACATCACAGTATACGGATTTAAGAGATAGCTGAAAAATAAGTGTTGACAGTCAAGCTCAAAGTCCCAGAACACCTCCATGATCCCAACATTCTCTCTTCCATTACATAACCACCTCGTCTATGAAGACTCAGGTCTAACTTCTTAGTTCTTCCCCCACAGCTGAAACAAAGCCTACATATGTGTAACTGTGTTTGCTCCTATTCCTGCCACTCATGCTCTTCTCTTCTTCCCTCCCGCATTCAAAACTTAGATTACAAGTTCCTTGGGACAGGGAACTGTCTTTTTGTTACTCTATAAAGCACATCACCATCCTCTGCTTCACCATACATATTACTGGTACGATTCTGCTGTTTTACTTTTCAGTTGTGGGATGCATCTTTATCGCAGCACTGAAGATCCTGAACTGAAATTAGGAGATGTATCCAACCAGCTTTTTAGCATGATAGCCAATGTGGTGTAGTGGTTAAGAGCAGCAGACTCTAATCAGGAGACCTGGGTTTGATTCCCCAGTCCTCCTCCACAGGAAGCCTGCTGGGTGACCTTGGGTCAGTCACAGTTCTCTCAGAACTCTCTCAGCCCCACCTCCTTCACAAAGGTGACTGTTGTGGGGAGAGGAAGGGAAGGTGACTGTAAGCCGCTTTGAGACAAGGTAGAGAAAAGTGGGGTATAAAAACCTACTGTTCTTCCGGTGAAAAAGGGAGAAGGAATCTACTTTACCCACCCCAAAAGACTATGCTAGGGGTGACAAGACCTGTACAGATAAAAGTCATATGGGATAGTGGCTAGGGTAAGGAGGAAAATTAGGCGAGATTGAGCACCAAAGATGCCTGGATCCACACCTATATTTTTGGTGCTCTGCCCTTGTGAACAAGCCTCTCCTTTTTGCATCACAGCCCAAAATCATTCCAAGAGAGTCTAAACAGGAAAGGGAGATATCAAAGGAGAAAGGGTACATTTAAAATCCAATCTCATTTCTGAAGGTGACAGTGTACAAAGGGGAAATGTCTTTTTGTAGGAGAGTGAGTTTTGTGGAATGTGGGATTGGGACAGACAGAGAAGTGCTGATTACAGGAAATGAAGGTAAGTTAGGATGGCAACTGGTGGAAGACAGAAAGACTATACCGAGCAGAGCTGAGGAGGAGGGGGAGGAAGAAGAATTGGTTTTATACCCTGATCTTCACTACCTGAAGGAGTCTCAGAGCGGCTTCCCCTCCCCACAACAGACACCCTGTGACTGAGAGAGTTCCGAGAGAACTGTGACTGGCTTAAGGTCATCCAGCTGGCTTCCTGTGGATTCAAGTCCACCGCTCTTAACCACTACACCAAACTCGCTCTCAGTTGAGTTGATTGAGTTGATTTATCTTCATATTGATAGATCAGATATATTAAGCCTTCATCTTAATATTTTTCTCACAAACTAAATGGGAAGTCACAGGGCTAAAGACCTACACGTTTATTAAAGAGCAACTGCTGTGACTTGCCCTTACACCTTTGCCGATAGGTGAAATATGAATAAAATAATTATATGGACCAAGCGGACAGATGTGACCATTTTCAGTGGATCAGACAATTTAAAAAGTGCCCATTTACTTGCAAGTCTGGAGATATTTAAGTTGGAGACACTGAGAATATATATTATAAAGTATGTTTCAAAGGCTCTTTTCCAAGCTGAAGGGTATTTTAAATATTTTAAGACAGCAGCTTCTTTATGAAAAGACTGATACTGCCACAATCTCCATTCAGCAGAAAATAAGGAACAGCATCACAATTTCTCAGCGAGCAAGAGGTTGGATTTATTATTACTATTTTAATAAACTGTTCTCTGGCACCAATAGTCATATCCTGGATCTAGTATGGTCAATCTATGTGGGAAACTCTTTTAAGCATCTGGAAATTCCCCACTGCATAACCTTGGGGAGGATATCTTCGGATTGTCCCCTAGAAGTTGGAGCAGGGGGTCAGGTGGGCAGAATCATCTGAACCTAGCAGTCAGGCTGATTTAGGTAGTTTGGGCCCTCCCTGATCCAGGGTTCTACAAACACAGCAACTATAAGCTGCATGCCTATTTCATGAAGCTCTACACCTTTCCTGTTGTTGGAGGGAGGGGATGCTGAAATTTGGTTAGTGGGGGAAAGGAGCAGGAGGGCAACAAATCTTGGTCTGCAGTCTCTGGACTGAAAAGAATAAGAAACGTCTCCTGCAAAAGGCAACGTCCAAATTTCACCTTGTCTTTGAACTGAGGAGCACCTTATTTAGTTACCTTAAATTTGGCGGACAAATCCACTCAACACAAGTAGACCGATTTCTTTTCAATGAATATAAAGTTCCAGACATCCAAATTAATGAATATAACGTTCCAGACATCCAAACAAAAGTTCCAAACTCTTCAATGTCTGATTCCCACTCATGTCAATTCAGCTCTATTTTTAAAGAATTTTGAGGATAAACTTAATCAGAAACCCAAATTTAAAAAGAGACAACCGGACTTTCCTAACTTTTCTTTTTGGGATATGATTTTAAATTTGGAGGTGTTTTCATACAGTTTCATTGCGGGACTGCATGAGAGGCTTTTCAGTACATAAAAACAAAACAGCAATACTCCTTGACCTTTTTATTCTGGCTCATCGTTTAAACCACTTGTTTGTAAAGTCAAGTTTGGATATAAACATAAAATGTCTAAAATAGCATAAGGAGCAAGAAAAATAGAACTAAACATTCTGTGTATCAGAAGAATTGTATTCCCAAAAGCAATACTTACAACAGTGCTACTTTGAGAGGGATATAGTGCATTTCCATGGGAGTTCGAATAAGCTCTGCCACATCTGGGGCATATTTATCCAGTTCTATGAGAAGTTTCTGTTTTTTGAACTGAACATGAGAGAAAAACACTAGGAGTCAGAAAACACTTTGTTTCTGCATATGTTCAGCTATTCTGTCCCACAGTAGAGTGCTGGGGAAAATGCTAATCTGTTTGGCAGTTTATATATGTATTTTTGGTGGTTTGGGTTTTTTTGCCTGTGAGTCATTTTAGTCCCTTCAGGGAGAAAAATGGGACATAAATATTGAAATGAACAATACAGTGAAGCCCCCATTAACCTTCTCCCCTCACCAAAAAGCATGTAGCCTATACCCTGAGGCCACACTATCATTTAGTATAAACTGCCACAATACATTCATGCAATTTTGACAGGAAACATAGACAACACTATAGTCAACCAGTTGCCTTTCAGCGTTTTCTGTGTTGTTTTCCCATCTATTTTCAAACCTAATTTGTGGTGAATTTTTAAAGAAAATTCAAAGCATACTTGCAGCACTATCCATCCACATTTAGACAAAACACTGCTTAGATTTGCCATAGCTACAGTCCCTTAAAAATCTTCTTTGCCTCTCTAGTACTTAAATGACTTCCTATGTTGGCAGCCTGGCCTTTCTCGATGGACCTTTTCCTTGGGAATGGGGGGACTGTGAGCTGTGGCTCACTGGCAGAGCATCTGCTTGGCATGCAGAAGGTCCCAGTTTCAATCCCCAGCATCATCTGCAGTTAAATGGATCAGGTAGGAGGTGATGTGAAAGACCTCAGCCAGAGACCATAGCCAGTCTGAGGAGACAATACTGACTTTGATGGACCAAGGGTCTAATTCAGTATAAGGCAGCTTCATGTGTTCGTGTGACTTTCATTACGCCCTGTTCTTTTGCAGCAAAAAGTAATTGCTCATTTTTATTTTTATAATGGTTGCAATAAAATATTAATGACTATATTTGCAGTCATAGAGAAAAGCAGTAATTAAAGCATCTCCCTCATGCTTTTAAGTCCTCCTTGCCTAGGTTGTCTTAAAGCAGCGTTTATAGTAAATGGAAAAAAGTGTACTACTCTGTTATTCAGTAGATTTTCTTAAATAAAAATGTTCATATTATGTTCTTTGAGTAAAACCTTGTATTTTGTTTTATTCATTCCAAAGGGGGGGGGGTTAGGTTTTTTTTCAGTGTTCTCCCAAATTTCCCCCTTTTTTCCATTGGAAATATTGAAAAAGGTTCTCAGACTTTTAGAAACCTTGCCTTAAGAAATACTTCACTCATTCCAAAGGAATGTTTCATAATTTTTTTCAGTGTTCACCCAAAATTTCCAATATTTCCACTGGAAAGTGAGGAAGTACTACTCATTTTTTTCATACTATACTTTGGAAATGTCCGAAATGCCATTTATGACAAGGTTTTTCTCACTCAAAAAGAGAAAATATCTCATAAGATTTAATTTTTTTCTGCTGGAAAAATTGAACAAATCCTCAGATTCTGAGTGTGGACAACATTGCCTGAAGAAGCATTTCAATCATTCCAAAAATATTTCCTAGAATTTTTTTCAGTGTTCCCCCAGATTTCCCTACTTTTCCATCAGAAAAACTGAAAGAAGACCTGAGAGG